CCCCACCACGGCTCTCTTGACGGTCATTTCGAACGCAAATATAGTCTAGTAGAAGGAGTTAGAAATCAACTATTGAAGCTGATGCCCATGTCTCATTTACTAAAACCATATCTGGACAATGGTTGAACACCAGTGTCTGAAGCAAAGGCATCTTATTTAGCAAGGATCAGGCATTTAGAACGAAAAGCTTAAGGGGAAAGATTGATTGATTCTGAGGGGGTTGGGCTACTTCGTACAGCGCTTGGCTGCCCACAGAACATACGTTCCGCATGTACCTGTCGGGTTCTGCAGAGAATTCTGTGACTTCAAAAGACCTTGATGTGGATAAAGACGAGTTCGATTTTGGGGGAGGAAATGATGGACAGGGAGACTGATTTCTATTGTTAGCTGCCTCATTTTCTGCTGGAAATCCACGGGCCAGATACTGTAGCGTATTTCCACCGGAGTAAGGCTGCGGAATTATATGTGTTAACTCACATAGTATGGATATCGGCATGAGGAATGCATTAGTAAATTGGCTGCGGATGAAACATTTTGGGGAGTGGGGAACGCACTGAATCCATTGGAGCGTGAATTCTATTTAAAGGCGGCAATGGTAGCGTATTCGACTTAACCACTTTGATATGAGGTCTGGGAGGTAGTGGGAAACCCGATATGTTTGGGCCGTGGTCAACGAGCGCAACACGATTTTGAGAAGATTAGTGAAACTTATATTTTTTAATTCGATTACTTAATATCTTACATAGTTTTCCAGTGTAGATCTGGCAAAATTTCCTATTTTTTGTCACAAGACTTCTCAGCTTTCTGTCGTGTTTTGCCGATTTATACTACAGCGGAAATAAAGTGTCATAAATTTTTACACAACATAGCCTCAATCCTAATAAGATTTACCCTCATATATAAAAGGTCTTCCTGGTAAAATGTTAAACAGCATTATACTTTAAACGATAGACCATCCTTACTGAGCGCTCTTATTGTCGATTTATTGACCGGGAAGATAACTTTACTGTTCTCTATTTGATCCCTCATAGCCTCATTATCCAAAACAAATTTACTAACAGTTTTGATTTGCTTGCTACGAAATTGTCATTTACCCGTTTGTTTTTCAAGTTTGCATTCTGCCATTGAGTAAAAATTGCTCAGTATCGATTGTGCTCTCTGGTCCGCCAATATTGATATCTTTCACAAATTGTTTCATCATACATAGCCTCATCCTTATATCCTCGAAGGTTCGGTAACTATCATCCCCATAAATTTGGACTAAAGTCTTGTTTTGCTTTTTTGGCATTAAACCTCAGGCAAACCTTGGTCAAAATCTGAAGGAAACTAAACTCCATTTGAAACCCATTGTACATATGAAAAAATAGACCTAGGAGCGCTCGATAATTTTAACAATTTGATTTTTCGTTACAGGTCAGTTTTTTCTGTTCTTGGTGCCCTTCTTGAAGGAAAGTTGCCAACACGTACGTCTCAGCAATGTGAGAAGCTCATGCCTCTCATTGACCTGGTTGCTAGTGAGATCGAAAACAGGCGCAAACGAAGCTTTAACTTTATTTTAAAAAACGTTCCTAAGAGTAGACAGCCAATCGATGTCGCTTTCCACTTTCTTTATTCATGCGGCATCAACTTTAGGGTCGCTGAAGTTAAAAGACTTTCATCTAGGAGCAAAAATCTACCAATTCTTGTCAAACTCTTTTCGCGATAGAAGTGGACTTTATTTTCTCCCATTTGGATCGCTCAGCTGAATATCTTAGGGTAAATAAACTTTTTATTAGTCGAGATCAAACCCCACTGCAACGAAGGGTTTCTCCCCCATTAACAAATCTAAAGCCACTCCAGAATTCTACTCATCTGTCTTTTGCCACTAAAGCAGATTCTTCATCAGGCGTCTGCCAAATCTTCCCACTATCTGCAGCGGCCGTTCTTCCATCTGGCTCATCAGCTGAGCACATGATCACTGAGTCAGTTGAAGCCCGTCACTTTCAACCGCCCACAAGAAACAAGGATTGCTTAAATGCGACTCCAAAATTTACTAGGGAGTAAATTTACAGTAAAGATGGCCCAATCCTAGAGGCTTATTCGACCTCCAGCATTCAGAATAATGAATTAGTGCATAAACTTGAACCGAATCTATTCCGTTTTTGCGCCTGGCTACTCAGGCATGACCTAGCGATTAGGTCAAATAAGCCAGATAATAGTTTAGGGCGATACTGAGCTGTTCCTATTTCGGATTCTCAGCTTAACGTAAACACGCCAGTTGTGAAGCCAAATTGCACACCAGCCTCCAAAATGCAAGTCAGTCAATCAGTCAGTGTATTTGAGGGAAATAGGCTTACGCCTTTGAACTCCTATTTGTACATAAAAAATCGATAAACTAGCAGAATGTGAAGAAATTACAGCAGTAAGTGAATGCATGCACTGATTCCCATATGTCACTGGTCTCATGGCTAAAAAGTCAGTTAGTCCGCTTGGTGCTGTAGCATATGTTTGTCAAGCCTACATTTAAATGTCGCCACAGATTGAGACATGACAACCGTCTCGGGCAGATTATTCCACGGTTCCACGACACGGTTGGAGAAGAAATATTTTCTCACATTCAATCTACCCTGGGGCACACGTAGCTTGAAGGGATGTCCCCGGAGGTTAGTTGTTGTGGCGCGTTGGAAAAATGCATCGCATCGAAGGGCGCAGTCCAAGCCACGCACGATACGGAAAGTTTGTATCAAGCCTCCGCGCAACTGCCTATAACTCAGAGGATAGAGATTAAGGTTAGTTAAGCGGATCTCATATGGCAGTGCATTTTGATCTTTTACTAATTTTGTGGCTCGCCTCTGCACCCTTTCGAGCAGATCGTAATCCTGATGCGTCCACGGTCTCCAGGCCTGAATTGCATATTCGAGATGGGGCCTTATAAATGTG